CATTCATTCACCATATATATATATATATCATAACGCTTTTCCTATGAGTACATACATACATACATACATACATACATTTATATTTGGTAGTACAACTAACATATTTCTTTAAATTTGTCAAACTTCATCAGCCTTTTAAAACAAGAAAAAATATGGTCACGCATTGTCAAATAATAGCCAAGGGCCCCCAATAAGCTAGTAGATTTCTCAGAAAACGATTCATATGCCTCAGTTGGAAACATCCCAAAAATATAACAGCCGTTTACAAGCAGAAGCTTTAAGAATTTCAAAGCAAACAAATGAACAGTTTATTCTAGTTTTGTTTATGAAAAGTGTAAATAGCTATTTAACAATCTTAAAGTTACACCCCCTGCCCCGCACAGTAATAAATTCTATGTATAATCTTATAAAAAAAAATCTATGAATATTTTTCAGATCAATAACAGAAAAAATTTCCACATAACTACTCCTAGATGGCAATAGAAACAGTGTATCTATAAAAAGTTTCCAAACCTTCCACCAAGTGCTACCTTGAGAGTCCACAAGAAACTTTATCAGTAAGGTGAGACGATTTGCATGTATCAGATAAAAAACAAATTGTAAACTAAAGTTTCAGACAATTTGCTGGTAGCTATGGTTTTCAGATACAGGCCTGCAGAAAGAAATAAAATGCACTAGTCAGCGGATGGAGAGTTGTGAAGCCAATCAAGCCTTTATGTGTGAGGTCAGGCGCATAGGACTTTATGGACCCACTTTGTGTTCAGAGCAGTGGAGCACTACCCACCAAAAGATTTGGTGACAAACCACCCCAACTGGACCAGGTTTGGTCATTAGGTTTTCAAATATCAAGTAGCAAAAAAAAAGAGAATCTCCTACACTTCTTTTGGTATCCATCATACGCTTCAAGCTCTTTCACTGAGCCTGGCAGCCTGACTATTTTTTATCTTATGGATAACGAAACCTGTATCTTTCTCCCGAGATTGCTTGGGCAGGTCATGTAAAGCTTAAATATAACTATAATAAGACTAAATTATAATGTCATTAACGATCACTATCAAAAGAAGGTCTATTCATGTACAATAAATTTAAAAATCCAACTCAAAACAGTTGCTCATGTTCAACTAGCTTATTTAGTAAACAAATCAACTACAATATTTTTAATAAGTCAAACACAATGAACTTTTCAAAGCCGTATTCATTGATAGTTGTTTAACGTTAAAATTCAACAATTATTCAAATTAATTTCCAGGTCTTAATCCATTATAAAAGAGCAAGGTGGGATGGTGCACTGTGAATGGGGTTGAAAAAAATTTAAAACATGAATGAATGCAAATGTAAAACTACTGATCATAAAAGCAGCTTAAAAATAATACCAAAAAAAGCATATGAATAAGCACTTAACCTTTAGACATCACAACTATAGAACTTCCATTATTTGCACCTGCTACTGAGCTAATATAGTAGTTCTTTTCCCATTGTTCCATAATCCATTCCTAGAAAAGCAGTTGACCAAAAATAAATACATCACACTGAATCTACATTAAAAAGACTCATCAGGTTAACACAAACCTTATGAAGGAAACAAGGGGCAAGTTCATAAACTTGAGATGTAAAACCAGTTCCCGCATCCATAATGAGAGCCCATAGATTCGTGCAAGATGCAACACAGCTAATAAGGAGGCCATCAAGATTTCCTCTCTCCACATGTTGTGCCAACCGTGTATCCGCCACATTATAGTGGTACCTGAATGATCATGGTATGGTTAGCATATAAGCTAGTATTAAGAATAAGTAAAATAAAGTTTTATGAAAATATTCCATTGCATTATTCTGGCTCTAAATTTATATTTAACTGAGGCCTTTCTCTTACTCCATTCACCTCTAAAATCTTTCCATCTGTGAGTAAGGGTGAATGGGTGTTAAGATTATATGTTTTTTTAATATATTTCTGCATATATATTCTTGTATTACTAGTTTAACAATGGAATATATTTATGGGCTCTCAAGGCCTTTCTCCCGCACCAGCCTTGTTTCTCCCGCAGAGGCACAATTAAATAGGTTACTGTAGATACAGTGAAATTTTGTAAGTTACTGTAGCCACAGTAACTTAACTGTAACTGCTGCAGAGAACCACAAACTTTTTTCTTTCAGGTTAAAGATTTGTTAGAGATGATTCTAGTTACAATAAACCGCAATATTCTTTTCATATTTACACCCGCATTTTTATTTTCATGTTTGTAATTTGTCAAAGGTGGATTTGAACTGATATTTTTTTTAATGTGCTAGGTTAGTTTTATAATAAATAAGGATTTATAATAGGCAATATTTTAAAACAAGGAAGAGAAAAAAAATAATAAAAATTCATAATTTAGAAAATGTTTATAATAGGAAGAATTCAGAATAGGCAGCGATTAATAAACATAATAGAAATTCAAAATTGGTAAGTGCCATGAAAGAAAGATGGGAAAGGAAAAGGAAAGAAGAAATGGGATGAAAGGAAAGGAAAAGAGGGAAAAAATAGTCCTAATTTAACTTATAATGAAAGGGTAGGATTGTGTGGCCAATAGTAATCGCACTAGCAAGAAAGAGTTTACATGGTAATATACAACAAGCATACCCAATGAAAAACATTTCAAATATAAGTTTTTCAATCAAGCTTGTAGTGGAATAATAAGCAGGAAGAAGCAACATCTTGCCAACACACACAAGGTCGAAGTAGTGCAATAAACATTGGTGAAGGTCAAAATGTTACAAATTCATCATTACTTGACTCCTCCCAAAGGCCATTCATTCACCACAACACAAGAAAAAAATTCTACTCTAAATTCTAAATGGAAAAAAGATGAAATAAAAGAAGCTTGTAGGGCAATTGGTAGATTTTGCTATTCAGTCGGATTTATGTTTATTGTTTCCAATGACCTATATTACATATTTATGTTTGAAGCACATGTTATTTTGGACCTTGTTTTACTCCTACAATGCATGAATTGAGAACTTGAATACTCAAAGATAAGGCTGCAATAATTACATGGAGTAAATATGAGTGCTCGATTATGTCTAACAGTCGGACAAATGAAAAAAGTAAAACTTTGATTGAGTTTCTTGTGAACAGTCCAGTTGAGATTCCTTAGATCTGTGGATGCTTCTAATTCGATAAAAAGTGGTGAGTTACTATTCACTTAATTGGATGACGTGATCGAGGAGTTGGGGAGAATAAATGTGGTCTAAATTATAACAAATAATGAGTCAAATTATGTGAATGCGGGTAAAAGATAATGAAGAAAAGACAACATATTTATTGGTCACCATGTACAACACATTGTATCGACCTAATGTTAGAAGATATTGTAAAGTTAAAATTCACGAGAGTACACTTGTAAAAGCAAAACAAGTTAAATTCATTTATAACACACATGGGTTCTTGGTCTTTTACAAAAGAGAGCGAACTTGTTTGTCCAGTCATCACACTGTTTGCTACGAAATATTTGACCCTTCAAAATATTTACAAGTAGAAGCAACCACTTCAGGCAATGTTCTCCTCAGAAGTTTAGTGTTCTAGTCAATGGTCAAAGAAGACAGAAGGGATAAAAACTTGAATTGCTATTTTGTTTGATCCACATTTTAAGGTTCATCTTAATTATTGTATCAAAAAAGTTGTGGCGCTTGTAAATGTTCAAAGAGAAGTTGACTCAGAAGATAGGCCAACCATGGATTATATTTACGAGTTAATGGATTTAGCAAAAGAAAAAACTACTTTTAATTGTGGGCATAATGAAAAAAAGCATGTACTTATTTGGAGGAAAACTGATGCAAGATGAAAAATTCAACTTCATAAACCACTACATGTAGCTAGTTATTATTTAAACTCTCAATTTCGCTTCAAGGATATTTTTTTCTAATGATGATGAGGTAAAAGAAGGTTTAATTACTTGTATGAAAAGAATGTTCGATTACGAAGATTGTCTTAGAGCTAATATTCAACTATGCTAATATGATAATTTATGAGGAGACTTTGAGAGTACAATTACTACAGATTCAAGAAAGTTGAGATCTCCTGCTGATTGGTGAATGAGATTTGGTGGAAAAATGCAAGTTAAAGAATTTTGCAATTTAAGTTCTTAGCCTCAATTGCAGTTTATCAAGTTGTAAAAGAAATTAGAGCACTTTTAAATCAATAATAATTTCTTTATTTCTTAAAAGTTAAAATTATTATTATTTCCTTTTATAATCACCTCTTAAAAATAATGTTTTTTTTTTATTTTAGATTCATACTAAGAAGAGGAACATGTTTGAGCATAAGAGGTTGAATACTCTAGTATATGTAAGATATAATAATGGATTGAGGGGGAGAAGTACAAGAAGAAAACAAAACTTCAATCCAATATTAATAAATAACATGAACTCTGATGATGAGTGGATTGTTGAGAAAAATCCGGTGCTTTTACAGAAACCTTCTTGGATGAATGAAGATGAACAGTTCTTTAATGTGATGTAATCAGAATGCTCCCACGAAAAATGCAAATGAAGAATAACAAAATATTACACATGTAAGAAACAACATTTTATAGCATATTCTCACAGAAAAAGCAAGATGAATGAAAGAAAAAATATGTTTCATATTTGTATTTAACTGTTATTTACAAAAATATGCATTCTTAATTTCTTATAGAAAAAAATGTCTTAAATATTTAAGGATGTCATTTTGTTTGTGTTTGTAATTTAGACAACAATGATAAGGAGAAACAAAATATGAATGCACCTGAAATTGACCATGATGATGACTTCAATGAAGTAGACAAATATTCGACATCACATAAATATTGAAATTCATCGTATCCAAGCAATTTGAGGCGGACTTTCTAAATCCTCATTCTTAGTTCGTCCTGACAAGTGTTGCATGAAGTTATTGAGCATTTCTGCGCAAGCTTTTTTGTGCAACTCCAATTCATATTATATTTAATCTATTATTTTTCTCCAAAATTTTATGGTATTGATTTTATGTCTTATTAGCACATCTTTTACTCTCAACGGTATATGTCCAAACCACTCAAGCATAATTTTTTAATAGCTTATTTGGAAAACGTGGTACTCCTGCCATCCTACTCATTTCTATATCTACCCTACTTAACAAATCTACACATAATCTACACATTCATTTTAAGATTCTTATTTCTACAACACTTCAACGTGAGAAATTAAATTCATACAGCATAGCTAACCCAATTATAAGTTTATAAAACATGAATAAGATTCATGATAACTTCCTCCTTTAGTAAGACAACCATAAGTTTAAAAGTATATGCTCATTTAAATATCCACTCTTTCATATGATAGATTGAATGTACTTAAGCCTATTGAAGACTTACCTGTAACAGAAAGGAACAATTTAGAAGTGGTTATATCGTGATTAAGGGAAGACCAAACAAGGTGATCGAGGTCTCCACTTCCAGGACTGAGCAGCATGGACATGCAAAATGTCACTTTGTTGCAACTTGCAATTGATATCTTTACTTCTAAGAAGCTTGAAGACATTGTGCCTTCTTCTCATAATTGTGATGTTCCACATGTTAATCATACTCACTATCAATTGATTGATAAAGCTGAAGATGAATTTGTTAGTTTTCTGGGTGAAAATGGAAACCATCAAGAACAATTTGAAGCTCCCTACGGATGAGACTCATCTGAACAAGATCAAAGGGATTGTTGAGGGGAAGGATCCGGTCGTCACCATGATGCAATGGGTGAAGAGCAGATGTGCACTCTGAAGGATATCAGCCCAAAGTAGATTCCATCAATCACACCGAAATTGAAGTGTAATATCACTGAATTTATAGCACCTTATAATGTTGTTTGTGTAATTTGAAACTCTTGAAATATGTGCACCAATATCAACCGCATAAGCCTCCTCTCCTTTGGCTCAGTGTGTCTCTAGTCGTCGGGCTATTTTAGTTAATTTTTGGCTTTGATATTTTTATCAAGCTTACGTTTTGTGTTCTGGATTGTGTATTTAAGCCTGACGTATTTGTTTTCTATTTTGATTGCTGAAAATAAATAAATAAATAAATAAAACACTAGAATTATTTTTTCTAACAATGATGATAGAAAGGTGTGTATGACGCCCACTAAAATTAGATTTCCTGCACTACAACTTTCTTATGCTAATCTTAAGCTCTTATCTTCTGCATCTTATACATTATTCTAACATCTAACTTATTTCGATAGATATCTCCTCAATTGGAACTGTATCATTCTCACCTTGATTATAATTTACATGCATCTTCATAACCAATACAAAATATATAAACTTAAAGTTGATCTTTATTATAATCCTATCATGATTAAAAACTTTTACACAAATAGTCTACTAATAAAATTAATCAATGCCCTGCATGCATATATTTAATAACTTAAGCATATCATTCACGCAATTGTTTCCCTTGACACAATTGTTTCGCTTAAGAGCAACAAATCAGGCCTGGTGAACGACACTAAATGCCTTACATGATCAACAAAAATAATATGAGGATTTCTTAATTGTTTTCTATGTTTTGCCATTAATTATTGTCTTTTTCAGTATTTTTTATAAAATTCCCTCCATGATGAAATTTTATGGCAAAAAAACAAACTAATATTTTGATATTAACGTAATTTTTTAGCCTATGTTGTGTTACTCTCTCAATATTTCATTGCATGATTCAAAGTTTGCCACCCCTGAAGTACCAAAATTCTAAATATTTAATCTTAAACATTGAAAGAATAATACTTTAGCAAACCAAAATGTATAAAACATTTAAGAAAAAAAAAAGACAAGAAAACCACATATACAAATTAAATTAGAATTTGTTAATTTTTCAAGCGCATCTTGTGTTGAGTGAGTGTTGAATTTTTTTAATTGAGAAAGCATTGCTGTATATTATATAGTTTTTTCTAATGATTTGACATCATCTTTTTCAGTTGAATTAAAAATAATATTATTGACAAGTCCTCAAATTTCAATAGGTTTATTCAGCTATATCTAAAGTTTTATCCTTCCGCATATACTTTAAAGGTAACTCTGCAACACTTCTTTAAATTTAATCCATAATAAATTATATTTACATCATCATCTTTAACCAAGCTCTTATTCTCATTATTTTTAATGCATCTACCTTGAACAAAAGGTTCTAGATCTCTAATACTCTGTCTTAGCTAAATCATGTATCTCATTTTCTCCCATGTACATCAAAACCTACAGCTTTTAGCTTGTTTAACATTCATTCTACAAGACCTCTACTTCATCAACAGTATTACTTGTTGCCACATTAAAAGCACATATTTTTCCTTGATAACTTTTGCTCCTCCTTCCACATCCGATAATGTAAGATCTATTTCACATCATCCTAAAATTTATACAATAATTTTCTAAATCAAAACTCATAGAAATACAATGAATAAATGAATAGCTCTTTTCTTGCTCTGCCATGCTCAATTGTTGTGGACTAAGATGAGGTGGCTCACTTCAAAACTCATCATGCATTTATAAATGAATTAAAAGTAAAAGAATGACACACTGAACTAAAAGAACTATAATTACGACAGCTTTTGGTATTCTATATTTGTAATGTGTGTGTAGAGCAGAACTAATTACAAACTTTGATTGCTGCCAAACTTTTGAAAAAATTAGAACACACATGACAAGCTTCTATTCCCCTTATGGGCTGGACTTGAGCCCAAACTACACCCCTTATTCGCCAACTTGGCCTAACACTTAACAAGAATTCACAACATTATTATCACCCCTCTCACAGAAAAGAAAGAAGACCAAATAAACGCAACAAAAAATCCTCTTTTACCAAGAGGATATCAGAGCTACCCATACTTAATCATCTAAACAAGCCAAGTCTAGAAAGAAGAATAAGGAAAATGAAATCGATGGGCTATAAGGCATGTATTAAATAGAGGAATAAATAACCCATGTTTTTTTACTTTCAGGGGTAATTCACGGGATAATCAAGAATAGGATAGACATAGAGTATCGCAAAAAATAGAGCATGCTCATGTCTTTAGCTTATATCCATAGAGCCCCCGGACATACAAGAAAATTATAAAGAAATAAATCCCATTCAGCACTCTCAAACTACTGCAGATAGAGAGATTTGAATAATCCTACCAAAACACCCTAATGATGAGATATTTCAAAAGAATAAAGCAAAAAGTTTCAAGAAGCAACACAATAATTGATCTATGACAGTAAACAAAGGCTACATGTGCACAATATACAAATAGGCAACTGTAAAAATATGCCACTGAACTGAGCAAGTGTCGCTGATACAAGTTTAATTAAATATATGATCAGGTTATTTATAGAAATTTCAGTTAGACAAGTGTCGTGCAGTTTTTCTTATTGATTAAGGTCTACCTAGCTTTGAGTTCTGAGGCGTACTTTTACAGTTGGCTACTTCCAGAAGATAGATAGACCTTAATCAATAACAAAAACTGCACAACCTTGCTTGACTAAAATTTCAATAAACACCCACATTAGCATGATTAAATAATTATTTAAAGTTGTAACAACATGTATGAATTTCTGCACCGGTAAAACCCCAAAAGTCAATGATAATGAGCTAGCTCCCTCTAATGTGGTGTTTGGATGCAACATGGACTTACGTTAAATAAGACTTATCAAATCTAGTAAATTCGATCACCGTGTCAGCGGAAAAGAACCTCGTGAGTGACAAAGGAATAAAAATCGTAATCCGCCACTCAATCGGATTTATTAAATCCGGATTTACATTGCAAAAGAGACAAAACAAGAGATTTGGAGACCTAACACGATAAAATTTCATTTAACGGAGCGTTGGATTTGATTTTTATTTTTTGGGAGTTTGGTTGGATTTAAGTAAAATCCATTGACTAAATACAATTAATAGGATGCTACCAAACACCGCCTAAGTATTTGCAGACTCGGGAAAAGATGTTTATGTCACCAAGGAAAGAAAAATAGATCAAACAATCATAGAATCCTAACTACTTTTTCCTTATATAATTATCAGTAGCAATCACCTCTGCTTCATTGGTGGTCTTGCATTATAGACTGAAATCCACTGAGTTGCTGGAACTCCCAATCGAATCTTCTTTCTTAATTGAGCATCATCTTCATCATCAATAGTTAATCTGCCTCGTTTCTGTCCAACCTGATACATAATCATAATCAGCTTGTTTAGCGGCCTTGCCAGGCTAGAAAAAACCATCATCATTTTTTATTGGAAAATCAAACGAAAAGAATAAGTATCAAAGACTACAATACCTTCAGTGCTCCATCTGTATTGATTGGCCTAATAGCCGGATTAGGTCCAATTAACTCATCAAACAGAGATATTAGCTTAGAATAATTGGGCTCCTCATCGTACTTCAAGTTTACCACAGTTTCAAGAAAAAGCTTAAACGGAGGTGGACAGAAACAACAAAGCAGCTCAGGAGATGTTGCCATCTTTTTCTTGCAAACCAAAAAAGACTTGTTCTCACCCTAGATTGAAAAAAAAAAATTGGAGAAGAAATAAGTGAAAATGTAACTTTTACTAAGTCAATTAGGCAGAAAGAATGCCAATGCAGTAAAATTCCCACCTGGTATCCCTGCCATGGCAGCCTGCCTCGATGAAGAAAAATAAGTGTGTACGCAAGAGATTCTAGATCATCTCTTCTACTAGCGGTTCTTCCCAAATGCGCATGCACGCTTGCATATCGAACAGTACCTCTGCATCCATTCAATAAGTTGATTTAGAAAAAAAACAAAGAGCAAAAACTATTTTATCGAAGCTGCAATATTTAGAAAATGATAAAACAATTCAATGTACCTGAAGACATCTGGGCGTTGGTCATATTCCACATGCTGGCCAGTCGCAGCATCCTTCCATTTCGTGGCTGAAGTACAATTAGCAAAGAAGAAAAAAATTAGTTCGCTATGTTCAATATGAGTAAAAATAAGCAAATTAAATGGATGAGTAAACTATAAAACAAAGCCACTAAATTCTTCAAACATGAATGGAACAGCTTTATAAAGAGTGGATCAGGCCAACTCCAAATACATCCCTCCCAAAACCAAAAACTCATCTTGGACTTGAAGCATGAGAGGTAAACCTAAAACTGATTTATACCATTCCACTAATTCTTTTAGAACATTAGCAGCCCAAATTAACTGGAAAAGTAATATTGAGAAGGCTAGCACATGAGAAGAGGAGGAAAGAAATAAAGTAGATTTAATTAATAGCTAAGAGGCATTAGGTAGAGTAGAGAGAAAGAAACTTGACAAGCTAAGTTGGGATTTCATTCCTTGGATAAGTAGAAGACCCTGCTGCATAAATTCTTTGACAAGGCGATGAAAGGTAAGTCGACCTAAGAACCTCAACACAACCAAGATAGGAAACTCTAAAACCATAAAACTGGAAACAAAGACGATCAGGTTTGGATTTGAAAATTTGGATACTTCAGAGACCTTGCGGCAGATGTTGCTACAGCAAGGTGCAAATATGGAAGAATTTCATGCACAGTGACTTGACCTAAAACATAGTATCCAGGCTAAATAAAAGAAGATATGCTTCCCCAAATACTCCCAATGAAACAGAAAGACTCGGACGATAATGGCGCAAACAGAAAATAACATGAGTTAAGAAAATAGGGAGATTATCATCATATCAATCTTTAATATAATACTTTCAGTTCACTAATAATTGGCACGTGAAGTTATTAAAAAGTTGCTCAAATTATTAGAATGACCATCAAATCAAGCTACTAGCACAATTTGCAGAATTGAGTTGCAAATTGGGTGAAAACATAAATAGCTCCATTAGAACACAAATACACATACTGGTTCTAGAAAAGATAACACCACCATTAGAATAACATACAGAGTAAGAATTTCCTCTTACCCAGTCCAAGATCAACAAGAAATAACCTCTTCTCTTGTGGTGTCGATGGTTGCCCAAGCAAAAAATTCTCAGGCTTTACATCTCCATGGACATATCTGATAAAAATAGTCGGTGATGGTTAAAAATAAAAACTAACAAACAATCCAATAAAAAAAAATCAAATTTACCCAAAAAGAAAATTGAGTTAGAAAATATGCAAGCCTCCCAATATGAGAATGAGGAAGAATTACACTTACCCTTTAGCATGCACCTTCTCAAGTATAGATATAGATTCTACCGCAATGCAGGCAACCATTTCAGATGACATTCTGCAACACAATCAAAAGGAGCAAAACAGAATTAAAAAATGGAACAAAAAAATACTGTGCATAACAATGATGTGATGATGAAAGCTCCTAGTGCAATTTGGAAAAAAAAAACACAGAATTTTCCTGCATATAATGCTCATGCACAACAACAACAACAACAACAACAACAAAGCCTTAATCCCACTACGTGGGGTCGGCTACATGAATCCTTTTTCTCCATTGCGTCCTATTTAGTGTCATATTTTCATTTAGTTCTAGTAAATTAAGATCATTTTTAATACAATAAGCCCAAGTCTTCCTAGGTCTACCTCTGCCTTTCTTAACACAAGTCAAATTTAAAACATCTACTCTCCTAATCGGATCATCTAATGGTCGACGTTTAATATGACCAAACCATCTAAGACGACTTTCTCTAATATAATGCTCATGCACACAAAAAATAAATATTTTTTTTATTCAAAGACAAATATATTTGGTTCAATACAGCTTTTCAAGTACAACTATTTGCTTACAATTTTAGCTTTAGAACCTCCACAACAGCTCAAAATACTCCAAAATTTGCATAAAAATTCCAATAAACACTACAATCTCTGGAGGTCAACCTATGATCAACCAGTCACATTTAAATTCAATCATTTTATTCAACTCCAAAGTCGCCACATTAACATAAAAATTTGTCATTTTGGGCAGATGCTTTATGAACAATCAAATATTGACAAAAAACAATGAAACTTGATAAATATAACAATGATACATGTGAAAATAAATGATGGAATATTTTGTTTGAAAACCAGTGGAAGTGATAGTTCTTGAAATAGAATTTGGCAGAACTATTCTCCTTTAGAGAAGAGAAGTCCATCTCACACATTTATGAAATATATATTATATATCCATCATTTGAACATGTGAATTCACGCAAAGAGAAGCAAAAATCATTATCACAACCCATGTTTGAATATGATAAGTATGAACATATTCCATAAAAAAGTTAGCAAGATGCATTAAAAATTATTAAAAAAATGAAAATCACTTATACTATAAACCCGGCATATCTCATTTCTTAACATTTGAAATATTTTACCGCCATTTCAAGTTTTTGGAAGAAAAATGTATATCAATAGAGGCGTACTGCTATTCTTTTTAAATTTTAAATACATATAATATACAATGCCACAACATCCAATATAGGTATCCTGAAATATTCTATTCATAAAAAGAATCTCTTTTCATACTATGTCACCTTTAGTTAACATAAATAACTAGTTTTAAGGGTAAAATAAGTGGCTCTATCAGCTAATTTAGTAGGTAATTGACTCTCAAATGAATCATTTTACATCTATCACTTGGTTTTCCACTGCCATGTTCTTCCCTAGTTCAGAATCAAAGGACTCCACTCAGCAACTATTGAAACTAATGGCCATCATTGACATCACTTAAACCTCACTCCTAACAATCATGTAGGATACATTAGAGATTATAAAAAAAAACCATACATTAAAAAAAATAATAATGGATATAAATAGGCATTGATAGCAATATGAAAACAGAGAAAATCATTCGTCAATATGAGGTTTTTCATTTATGCATTAGGTCTCTCCTTGAAGCATCTCCAAGTGAGCCTAACAAATAAAGCTTTAAAGAGTTAAAAGCCTATGATGTGCAACAAGATGAGACAGATGGACGGTCACAATGGTAAGACACTCACGCTTGACCAGCAGAATTCCATGCATCCCATAAACTTGGGCCCAGCATATCCATCACCTGTAAATAAAAGAGTTTCAGAAAACAATAATAAAAATAAAACAAAATTACATAGAGATTAAAAATGTAATAATAAAAAAGCATGAGAAATTTATTTTGATTAAAGAGAAATAGAGAGGAGGGGTAATGTTAACAGTTATTTCAAGACATGCAGCACACACCATAACGTAATAGTCACCCTGCCTTCCTTTATAGTGGACCCTTGGAACCCCATGACTTCCACCAAGAGCACTGTTTAATGAAAGCCATGTCAATGAAATGAAAAAATTAAAATCAAGTCAAACGGTAATTGAGTATGTGCACAAATGCTTAGTTGTGTTAGCGCATGGGCAGGAAATGAGATAATAGATTATTGATGAAGGTAGAAGAACACCTGTAAACCTGCCACTCGTAAGGCGGACCATAAGTACAACCCTTGCTGTTCCTATGCTCAAATTTTAGAGCAACCTATAAACAGTGAAGAAACCAGAAAAGAAGCAAGCAACCAGGTTAATTTACAGTCACAAAGAATGAGAAATATGTCATCTAAATCAAAACTTTCAAAACTTCTGCACAAATAATAAGAAAAAAAAAACCTCTAGTGCACCAGGGCCCATTGCACGGTCATTACCACCAGTAACACGGCGACCAAGAAAAACTTGGCCAAATCCACCTTTACCCAACCTCCTTTCAATCTTATAGACTGGAGATCCACCTACCTGGACCTGAAATATAGGTTATCATGTCAAATAGCCACCACAAAATCATCCAACAGAAACACTCTCAACAAATTAGAGTGTATCATAAGAAGAATGCATAATTAGCTTTCCTTAACTATTTATATGAGAATACCATGTAACAGCCTCAAGCAACATAATTAAGTAGGCAACACAATGAAGTAACAGTAATATGAACAAAGCTAAAAATTAAAGAATACAATCAAATTACTCAAAACAGAATGTGAAACTAGACTATACATAATAGAAGTAAAGGAAAATGAAAGGCTAGGGTTTACATTTTTAACTGACCAGACAAACGAATCTGGCTGAATTAAATGAAAATTTTTAATTCAAGTAAAATACACAATTACTGATATTTATTATCTAGAAGACAATAAGCAGACAAAAACCATGATACCAGCGGGGCCAAATGGATACACATTGAAAGACAAAAACCATGAACTATGAATCTTATTCATTTATTTAGTCCTGATAAAAGGTTTCCAACACATGATTTGTATAAATATTAACGTGCAACAAAAGAAATGAAATTACGGTGTATTTGTTTTGATAAGGTTGCCACCACTTGATTTGCATAAATATGAATGTGCAGCAGGAAAATAATGCCACAACATATTTGTCTGACTGTCTCACAGTTATCCTTCATTCTAAATCTGAGAATTACATTCCAAAATAAATTCATAGATATGCATCAAAGTCAGAACATTAAAAAAGACCACATCTTCTAAACTTTCCTTGAGGATTATCACTCCTAGAAAATGAAAATGCTTAGTGCTTAAATGTGAGTCTCAAAGTCCTTGAAAAGACAATCAACTATCTTACCTAAAGCATTAAAATCTCATGTCATGATCAATAGAAGAAGCGTCATATTAAACGTGAAGATGTTCAAGCAATAGAAAAGTTTCCCGAAATACCTTCTTTAGTTATGGTAAACCTAAGATTGTTTATGCTTTATACATAAACTTCTATAAGCAAGTAAACTATCAATACATGTTACTGTGAGTTTTTACCCTAGTTCCCCACCAATAGGTTGTTGAGATTGTACATTAAAAAAATGGAAATTAAGTGAAATATAACACAATTATTTTCATAAAAATTAGAGAAATGAAAGCAGCAAATTTACTTTGGATGAACCTAGCTACAAGATTAGAATGCTGCTTACAGTAGACAAATAAAATTTTGAAATTTCGACTCGCTAAAACTAAAAGCACATTGAAGATGAGCAATTTGGGAAGTCTAGCTCAGGAGAAGTAAGCTAAGCTAGTAAAGTCCCAGGCCAAATTCTTTGAGTTCGATTGTTAAACATATAGAAAGTCCTCGATATAGAAAAGAAAAAAATCAAACCATCAAGGAAATGAATAGAACAAGAAAAGTTGGCATATCAACCTTTTCAGGGAAAGGAGCCGTGTTCCCTTCTTCTTCTTGTCCCGCAGCCTTGTTGGCGCTCAACCCACCGCTATCATCACCCAGCATCTTGCCCTGGACCTCGTGCAGAAGTTCCAAATTCCTGCGATCTACAGCAGCGACCCCACCCCGCTGCTCTACCTCCTTAGCAATTACAACCTCTTTTACCTGATCAGAGACCTTACCTTCTCCCTCTCCCTCCTCCTCTGTCACAAACAACCTAACAACAGCAGCTGGCTTCTTCGAAGGCCTGCCCCTTGGCCTCCCCCTCCCCGCTGGTTTCGCCTTCCCAACCGATGCAGGTCTCCAAGCTACCGGCGATCCAGCCCCGTCCGACGCCTTCTTTGCCGTCGCACGGGTCCTTGGTCTCCTAACCTCGCGATCTACAACGAGTGGCGGTGGAGCACGACCTCCACGACGCACCCCGCTCCGAAGTTCTGGCATTCTTCGCCCATGCAACCACGTAGCGCCGCTCCAAAACCGACCATTATCTCCTCAATCTCTCCCAAAGTTCGCCGCCATGGATCTAACCAATCATCAGCCTTCAATGAGCAAAAATACGAGAAAAAAAAAATCATCTCACCGCACTCGTTCTTCATTAGGGTTTCAAAGAAATCCGCAAGAATCGGAAAAAAGTAAACCAACCTCGTCGAGAGAGACTTCGGGACGTTTGGATCGATTCAAACACAAATCAACTCCGTTGACTGCCCCGCTCACGAATTTGGCTTCAGAATCTTCTTCCCTTCTAGAGTTTTGGGATCGATCAGCCACAACTCGAGAGGGAGCTCGCTGGCTTCGCCGAGGCGGCTCCGGAAAGATGAAGCCAGAAGAGGGCTGCAAGTATGAGTGTAAACCCTCGCATTCCTGAAATTCGCGTGGACTTGATCATATAAAGAACGAAAGATATTTCTAATTTTTTTTTTATATTATTATTAGTTATTAAAAAGTATACGTTAATCTTGATTACAGAAAATCAGGGTCAATATTCGGATTAATTTTTTTTATAATTTTTTCAAAATCCTTAAATTTATTTTTGGATAACAGAATACATCAATATTCAGCTACTTTGGGCACTTATTCATCTATTTGGCATAGTTTGCATCCCTGCATTAATTTTTAGGATTTGTCTAAAATAATTGTAGTTATTTGAAGAAGCAGCTCTTAAAAAAATTATGACTTTTACCAAAAAAAAAACATACAAGTGTCGGATTTGATTGGAAAATCATGTTTTTAGCCGTAATTTTTTTTAAAATGTATGTAAAATAAAGTTTTATCAAATAGAAAAAATTATAGTGTGAAACCGCACTACCACACAAATGCACTGCCTATCGTTTTTTTGAAAACACCGCCTAGCCGTTTGGGGCAGCTTATAAGTGCGGTGATGTTTTTGAAAACGCCGCCTAACCATTTGATTTGCGCGTTTTTTAAGATGATGTCTGTCGTGTTTGGATTTCTTACACTAAACATATGTTGCGGGTCTACCCCGCGGTCAACCCGTGGGCCACGTTTCAGGATAAGCTGTTTATCCTGAAACGCACAAGTTGCTCCAAACAGACTATTAGACTCATCTTTCTTGTTGAAAATATATTCAACTAATTTCAAGTTTTTAGAATCAATCTATATTTATTAAATTATGAGGAAAAAAAATTAAGTCAATGTGAATGTCAAAATCATTTTTTTTTTTTGTAAAATATATTCAACTTTCAACATATGAAATATAATTTAACGACTATACTAAATTTATTTTAAATAAAATTTAAAACTTCTAAGAAAAATATTCTTGCCCAACCTGGCGGGTCCTTTCTAGAGTTCGGATCTTATGGGCCGTTGATGACGTTGACGGTCGGATCTCCGGGCGGTGGAGTATTGTCACATGACCCTCTTTTGCACGTGTGCCTTTCCAACAAATATCATCAAACAGGTAAGAAATTCATAATAAGCGCTTGAGAATTGATTTTATTAAAAATTTAAATAATTAATTTTTGATTTATAATTAAATTATGACATAAATAAAGTCGTAAATATAAAAAAAAGTATTAAATATTAAATAAAACCGATTTTATTTTATAAAAATTCAGATAGGCTATTTAAAAATAGGCCAAATTTTGTATGGAAATGTTCCCCTATCGTTTCTATTTTGCACTGAACTAATTATATTGGATTTATTCATTTGTTTATGTGTTTTTGTTTATTATCTAATTTGCTTGTGTTCAATGATGGAAAATCTTAAAGGTAATACTAACCATCATAAAATGACAAGATGAAATTATCACCTTAAGACTAATGGTCCGTTTTGGGGCCGCTTATTTGGTGCGGTGGCGTTTTGAAAACGCACCTGACATATTTGGATAAACTGCATTTTGACAACTTATGCGTTTTGAAAATGCTGAAAACAATGTTTTCACACCGCACCAAAATGCAGCTTTCTGGTAGCGGTCTGGCTTTTCCAAAAAAATAAAAAACTGTAATAGCCACCGCAATTATTTTATCAGCTGATTATTTTTAATCATTTTATCAGCAGATTATTCAATAAGTTGTAGTTGACCCAAATAGATCCTAATGATTCTATGTTAAGTCATCTATCTACTTCACTAAAGTCAGTTGAGTCCTACTTAGCAACTTTGATGCTTTGATCAATCAAACCAAACTATAATAAAATAAGAATTATTATTAAGAAACATTTTGAATGCTATTAACAACATAGAACTTGTTTTAAAGGTAAAATTGAAATGCAATTGCCAAATATGCATTCATATAACAAGAGTTATAATTAGAGTTCCAAAGTTCAAATAATTTGCAACATGTTTAAGCATTGAAAATCTTTAGAGTAATCGTAATTATTTTTAAGTTAGAAGATAACAAATTTTTTGAGCAATAATATTAATACAAAGAAATAGACAAATAAGAAACTTTATTTTGATATGTGATAGCACTGAGGATCATTAGGTTGGTGATATTACATGAGAAAAAAAAACCATAAAAGAGGAGGAAAAAGGACAACATTAAACCACAAAATTTGACTCACCATAAAGACAAAATTGTGGACTCTAACAATTATAATTATTTAAAGTCCAAAAAAATGATGAAAGTACAATAGAACCTATAAAATTTACCATTTTTTTCTTTAAAACTCTGAAGCATGATTCATAGGAACATATTAAATTCATTTATTTGAAGTACTATAATATCAAAAGTACTTTAAAAATGAGTTTTGTTCCATTGCGAAAGATTTTTATACAAAAAAAATTAAATTATAAGAAAATGTTAGCGAACTATCATTACAAAACTCAAAAATAATATATGACAACAATAAACTAATGACATGTTATTTGATCTTCGATACGTAACCAATAAATTTTCATCATTTGACACGAATCTTGATGCATGATGTGGATCCTGAGCTGATATTTTAAGCAAGAAACATTAAAATCTTGATAAAAAGTCATCCGAAGCTCTGATTTCAGTAAACTTATAATCAAACTGACTTCCGAGTCAAATCAAACTCGGATCAAGTCATTGAATCACACTTATAAGATTTTTAGATACATTTGGAAGGACAAATGGTTGTCTAATATGACAAGTTTATACTCAAATCGAACGTCTCGATAAGACAAATTCAATGAGCCCAAGATCGCTCAATTTCGATATCTTTAAGACACTCAAATGTCTATTTAACTTTGTATGACCGATGGAAGCTCTTTGGACCGTCCGATCAAAGTTGTTCATATTCTTACATTAATTGCTCTCATAACACTATAAATAGAGTCTCATCTCTCTCTTGAGGAGGGGCTTAAGCCTAGAGAGAGAGTTTGAGGCTTTGAGGAGAAGCTGCATCTCAGGATCATCACCGACCGCCGTCGACCACCACTAACGGTCGTCGACCATTGTCGACCTCCCTCAACAACCAACGATCATCATCAACCACCTACACCAACCGTCGTCGACCCTGACACCTATGTCGACCATCTCCTACAGTTGTCGACCACCTCCAACCTCCGTCGACCACCATAACCGTCGTCGACCACCGCTAACCACCGTTGTCAATCACTACCAAACACAGCGTCAGTCGACACTGTAATCTGAAAACCCTTTCCTTCTGTGGGACAATTGTTTTTTTTAATCATCAATCAATTGCGGATTTTCGCAATTGGGCCAGACCCCGTGATTTTTTATTTTATGGGTTTTCCATATAAAAACTCATGGAGTCGTCACTGCTTATTTTATTTTTCATCTGCTTGTGTGTTGAATTCTCATGCAATGCTAAGACGATAATTCCATACTCTACCGCCACAAATTTTCTAGCAGCATCAATTTTAAAACCTAATGAAAGAATTTTCATTCTCATCACAAAAGATCACTTTCCAGGAAAGGAGGTAGCAAGACAACATGAAAGCTACCCGAAAAAAAGATAGCTGAAAAAGTCGTCCAATAGAAGGACCCACGCGAAAATCACATATTCTATATGTTAACCATGACAACCTCAATATTAAAATGTAAGTTCTCCTGATAAGTGTGGCATCTAATAATTGAAAGTTGCAACATCAAAAACAATAGAACATAAAACACTATGAGAGTATATCAATCTTAAGCCAAGCAAAATAGGGTCGACAATAACTATAAAGCATAAATGCTACTAATAGTAATGTTAAATTCCACTTGTAAATTTCATTTTAAGCATTCTAATTGAATAGTAAAACGAATTTTATTTCTGATGATATACAATGGAGAAGTAACATTTTGAGAAAGTTATATCATTCTTTTTCAATCATAAATAATGAGAAACAATGTGGAAAATAAGTAGGAAAACTTTCGTGTAATTTTGCATCCTAAAATATCCTCATAAACTATTATTTGAGTAAAAATTTTAGCTCACGCGAAAGAAAAAAATTAAGTGAGTGAGTTTACTCAAAAACAAATGTAAGTGCCAGTTTAAACACCACAAAAGGTATATTTGGGATTAATCTCAATGCCTCTACGCAAAAGAACATCCTTAATTCTGAGGTCGTCAATCAATTTTTTTTAGAATCATGGCATATATAAAAGAGTAGCCTTTGAATTATAGGAACTTTCTCTGACCAGCTTTATACTGATCCTCAAAAAGGAAATAATTTTTAATTTTATGTGAGTATTAGTTTTTATCTTCCTAAAGTAGAATCAACAATGAGAATATTAAGTATGAGTTGAGATCAATTTACAGAGATATTGATGGTGGAATAAAGAGAGCATTTTTTTAAAATATCATTTGAAACAGTGGCATTGGTAGATTAGCTAAATTAGGATAAGATAGAGCTCCTAAATTTCTCATAAGGAAACGTGTTATTAAGCCAAGGGTCAAAATAGAATATAAGTGCAATGTATTTGAAATGAGTGAAATCTCTTTATTCTCATAGTAAGTTGCATTAAGTTTCTCTAAAAGGGGGAAGTTAGATTTTTATTTTAACCCAAAGTGATCCATAAAAAATATGGTGCTATGTGAAAAGTATTGAGTTGGTATTGTAATACCTTCAAATGATTTTATAATTGTCTAGGAAGTTAATAGTGTCAAGATTAGAAAATATCAGCCCTCTTTCTCTCTAGGGTTAGTAATAACATTCAAAGCAATGGTGTGTAGCTTCTTTTTTTGTGCAATCATAATGAAGAAAATTATTCGTAAGTGTTGAAAATTTCTTTCTCAGTCCCTTAGGAATCTTTCAATTTATTATTTTTCAAAATCACAAAGCATATTACTGAATTCAAATTTATTTACAGTCGATACAAAAATATTACTAATAAGGATATTCAAAAGACAAGAAAAACAACAATGAACAATAATCTAAAGTAAGAAACCTAAGATTTTAATAGATTGAGTAAAAGTATAATAC